TTTGCGCCTTTTTGGTCTCAATTTTACTGACCTTGATTTGAACAAATACATTGAATCAATAGCTGCATCTACCGCAAGGAAAGTTGGTTCTCTGTCATGCCAGAATGTTTTTCTCGTCTGAGTCCATCCTTCAAATCTATAAATCAACCATTCGTCCTTGCATTGAATACTTTTGCCATATATGGTCTGTGCCCCCCTGTTCATCTGAGGTTCTTCAGACAAAATCCAGAGACTGATATGCAATGTGATAGGTCCTGACCTGGCATCTCGTCTACAGTCACTTTCTCACAGACGTGATGTGGCTTCCCTCTGTCTTTTCTACAAATATTTTCATGGCAACTGCTCTGACGAGCTACTTTCACTGGTACCCCAACTGCATGAATTTAAGCGTGCTACTAGGTTGGCATCTCGGTCCCACCCTTTCACTCTCGAAACAGTTAAATGTAACCGCCTCTTCTACTCCAACAGCTTCTTCTCTCGCACTTCCTAACAGTGGAAATCCCTTTCCTCTTACTTGCTTCCCTGATAGCTATAATCTTCAAATATTCAAATGTAATGTCAATCGACATCTTCTGATGCCTTGATCTTGATCCCCATCTTTCTCTTTATCCTTTCTTCAAACACCCTCTTTACTCTTGCTCTTAATCTATGTAACCTCTTGCGTGATAGTGTCACTCCCAACTTGTTTGGGGTGAAATGCTTAAAAAAAATTGAAAGTAAATATAAATCTTGGTGTATCCAGGCACATTTAAAATATTTCTGAAGATTTTGCAATCCAAGTGACCCATATTGGGAATCAAACTTAGATACCCAGTCCACCTACCTCTATTAAGTCCTATTTGAACCTTTACTGCGATAAAGATTTTCCTAAATCTTGAGGGAGAACGTTGATTATCGTGTAGAAAACAAGCATTCGAAGCCGAAATAAACTTTATGAAAAATTTAGCATTCGGAATCAAATATATTTAAATTAGGTTGATTTGAATTCTATAATTAGGTAACTGAAATTCCTGATTCGTTATGACGGATTATTATTAATTTTGTCTAATTGATTGATTAATTAGAATCATCCGGTTGATAATTACATCGATGGTAAAAGCAGCTGACAACTTGGTAAGTTTTTAAGAATAAAAAAAAGCAAAATATATATTCCATTCAAACATTCAGTTATACAGATAGCAATAGATATAAACAAACTGTTATTTAAACATATATATATATATATATATATATATATATATATATGTTTATTGTGTATGTGTGTAATTATATATATATATATATATATATATATATATATATATATATATATATATATATACATACTGAGTATACTAAATATATTAAAAAAGTAGACTGAATAACTAGATTTGCTAAATTTGAAACCGGTTCGGTGTGGAGAGACAGTAGCCCGATGTTAAAAAAACGCATACATACATACATACATACATATATATATATATATATATATATATATATATATATATATATATATATATATTCTAAGAAATAGTTCTCTGATGATGGACATGTTGGCCGAAATTAGTCGATGAAATAATAATAATAATAACGAAAGAATATTAATCTATAACCCGGTGTGTCTTGAAGATTTAAATTTTTAATATTTTTATTGTTCAATATATATATATATATATATATATATATATATATATATATATATATATATATAAATAATTTATTAATACCCTGAGTTATTACACAAATATCGCAAATTTATGTGTTTTTCAAATCAATGCAAAACATCAATAAGATCAAGAAATCATAATATTCTAAATATATCAATATCAATATATATATATATATATATATATATATATATATATATATATATATATATATATACATATATATTTATATATATATATATATTTTGTATACAAAAAAATTACGATGTTTCAAACCTCGCGTCGTTATGATGTTCTTATTGAGAAAATGATTGCACATATATAAGAATGATGCCAGTTTTGAACTGGGCCTAGTATTCATGCTAGTAAATATTAAATATCACAATAAATAAGTAGTAAACATCGTATGATCTCCAATGTTAATGGTAATATTAAATTTGTTTCATTTTATGGAAATGTTAAAAAAATCCATTAAGCGAAATTTTAGTGCTACTGTCCGTATACAATTCATAAAATCTTATATAATTAAACATTTTTCCATGAAAATAGAGAATTCTCAAATCCACTAACTATTATCGCTCTTTCCAGTATCGATAAGGGAATCCTTCCTTTATTTGGAGTATTGTGAAGCGTCAACATCTCTATTATGTCACTGTTTTTCTTTGATGGTTTGGTTTGGTTTGGTTTGTTTTTACGGCATATCAACCTGAATGGATTATTTAATGACGACAAGGTTTTTATCTCTGGTAATATTTTTCATTTAAAAATGTATTACTGATAACAATTTTCTCATAAAAATGCATTGCTGGTAATATCTTTTCTTCTAAAATGTATTGCTGGTAATATTTTTTCTTCAAAAAAAAATGTATTGCTTGTATAATTTTTTTCTTAAAAAGGTATTGCTGGTAATATTTTTTCTCAAAAATGTATTGCTGGTAATATTCTTTCTTCAAAAAATGTATTGCTGGTAATATTCTTTCTTCAAAAATGTATTGAAATAAAACCTATTTTCATTTTGTGTTTTTGAACACAGTTTGGGGTTAACTATTTGCCCATAGCTGGGACTTTTTAACATGCTGCAAATATTCATGGGTAGGCCTGGGAACACCATAAATAAGGAGGTTGTTCCATTTTCTTCAAATTAATACTATATTTACTGGATGTAGTTTATCGTCATATCCAGGACAGTTTTTTTCGAGTTACCTGTTCCGTAGAAACATGTTCCTATCTATGACCTAGCAGTTTCAGTCGAAAAAGAAGCCATTTTTAGGTATTGATCTGAGAATGTGGTTGCCTACAGTTGTCAGTTTAGATATATTTTGAACGAATTGGACACATTTTTTTAGTTATCGTGTGACAGCAATTCCATTTAATCTCCAGTACCTTCCACAGTGTCATCGGAAGAAAATACGCGAGAAACAACCGGATATCCAAATTCTTCCACGAATATCCAAGTCATTCAATCTCGATTCTACGTGGTTTCCATCGAGGATAACAAAAGTTACTACACTTTGATCCCAACCCGATGACTAGATTTTGAAGAAAAACGTAACTCGAGTTGCACCTGCCGTTCGATCAATGAATGCCGAATGTTTCCTTATAAATGAAACGGCTAATACTACCATTAGAGAGGTGAGGAGAACAGATACTACATCTTGTGTTTACTCGTCCCCCAAGCAACGACGGGATATGGCACAAGGACGGTTTAAAGTGAGGGAAGTCCAATAATTACTCGGTCCGCAACCAATGTTGCGCTCGCGTCGACATTCCACCGACCCTCTGTTTGGCTCAAATCTGGGAGGTGCTTTGCGGGTTGGAATCTCCGTGACCAAGCATCCCTGATTTATTTGTTGTGTTCTGTCCGAAGACAGAAACAAAATTTAGAGATAAAATGTAATTTATTCGACCAAAGGCAGATACTACATTTTGATCCTAACCCGATGGCACCTTTTTGAAGAAAAGTTTAGCTCGCGTCGTAATTATAGATTTTATTCATTATAATTGTGTCCTTTCAGGGCGTAGACGATCATGGCTCTCCACTTCCTCCTATCCCTTGTATCTCTCAATAAGTTTCGTATTTCTGCCAACTCGCTCAGACCATTTTCTGCCTTCCACTTGCTTAAGCCCGCCAGGGATGTGATGCGTTTTTTTCACTTGTCTATATTTTTTCCTCTATTCGACCTGTAAGTCTCAGATTCTCCAGGCCTACCTTTTTCATTACGTGTCTCAGAAATTTCACCTGCCTTTTCCTTATGTTAACTATAAGCTTCCTCCTTGTTTGCATCCTCTAAAGATCCAATCGTTGCTCACACGTTCGCTCCATCATATCCTTAGCATCCTTCTGAAGAACCATACCTCCATTGCCTCGAGTCTCTTCTTCATCTTTGAGGAGACCGTCCAACATTCGCTACCGTATAGGATGACAGATGTCACATAGGAGCTCAGTATTCTTTCCTTTGTCACCGAAGAAATCCTCCTGTCTCCGCAGTACTCTGCCCAGATTTAAGAATGCGGCTTTGTCATTCTTTATACGTCTACGGATCTCAGTGTCGCAATTTCTCGTCCTCTGTCAAAACGCTTCCCAGATATTTAAACATTTAACCTGATTGATTTTAGTGTACCTGAACTTCAAAGCGCATTTCGGGCTCATCCTTTTACTGATGACTCTGCATTTTGTCTTCTTATACCTTAGTCCTTTCTTCTCGCTCTCCATCGCTACCTTATTTTATCTTAAGTGCATGTTTCTTATATTTTTCCTATTTTGTCATTCTTTTTGTCTTCACCCTGTGTTTGGCTCGCTCGGCCACATCTACAATCTACCAAATCCTCTTCATTTTGTTTATCACTTTCAGATTTTCGTTTTTAGACGAAACGCTTTGCTCAGCTTAAATCTTCTAACATCTCAGAACATCTTATTATTTTTATTTTTAGGATAATGTGTTTTGAATATATTTACACTATCGAACCCAATTATTATTATTATTATTATCTTGAGTTTCTTTTTGATTGATGCACATGGAAACAGCAAATCTGTTCATGTGTATTTTCCAACATCTTCTTATTTATTTTTTTCCTATCCAGGAAGAGTGATTCGCTCTCATTGGTCAATTTACAAGCTGACGGTCACGCATGCGGACGTGACTTGAACCCACGGAGAGTTGCAGTTAAGAGAAATAATTGTTTTCTTTTTTTTTCAAAAATACATTTCGAATAATAGAGAATAATTTTAGATATATACTCTAAATTTTTGCGCATTCACAGAAAACCTGACAGGAAGTCATTATTGAAGCTATGTTTCATTTACTTTAATGCAAAAAACAGATCAAATACTCACGGATATTCCTGAACAAGATGATGACAAAATTAAATAAAATTATTTTCTTCTTTCTTGCTTATTCTACATTCTTTCTTTTCTTTCTTTCTTTCTTTCTTTCTTTCTTTCTTTTTTTGTTACGTTTTTTTTTTCTTTCAGTATTCATCACTTTTTCCTTATTCTTTTTTCTTATTCTTTTCTTTCTTTCTTTCTTTTCTTTTTTTTTGTTTTTTTTTTAATTTCTTACCTTTTCCTTCTTTCTTTCAGTATTCATCACTTTTCCTTGTTCTTTTTTTTCTTATTTTACTTCCTTCCTTCCTTCTTCTTCCTTCCTTCCTTCCTTCCTTCCTTCCTTTCTTTCTTTCCTTCTACGGAATATCCAACTGTCTACACTATATTCCTTCTTTCTTTCTTTTTTTTCTTTCTTATTTTCTTTCTTTCTTTCTTTTTTTCTGCTATAACCTTTTCCTTCTTTTCTTTCAGTATTTACCACTTTTCCTTTTTTTCTTTCTTTTCTTATTCTCTACGTCTTTTCTAAGTTTATTCATTTTCTTTCTTATTCTATATACTTCTTATTTTATATTATTTCTAATCATTTCAATAAGACAATAAAGCCACTAAGACGCAAGGAGTTACAGAGTGTTAGAGAGCATGAGAAAAAGAGGAAATATGCTATTAAACAGGAGAGTAATAAAACAATAAGAATTAAGAAAACAGTTGATGATTGACATTGCATTTAAATTTTTGAAGATCTCTTTATTTTTATGAATTTTCGTCCTTTTTTTTTCACGATATTTTTGTTTTATTTTCTCTTTTTTATTGACTCTTCATTTCAGTTTTCATATTCTTCAGCCATTTTTATCTTAATCTTTTATGTTAATTTACTTCATTCATTTTCTTTTTTTTTTTTTTTTTTCTTTTCGTCTTTAGATCTTTATTTTTTCTTTCATTTGTCTTTGTTCAACCTCTCTTTCTCTTTTTTTTTATTTTTACATATTTATTTTCTTTTATCTTTCTCTCTTTCCTACTTTTCGTTCATTTATTTCCCCTTCTCATTCCTTTTCTCTTTTCGTCTTTTTTTTCTCTTGAATTTCTAGTTTTTCTTCCTTCATTCCATTTCCTTTTTTTTCTTTATTTGACTTATTTTTCCCCTTTCTTTTTTTCTTACATATTTTTCGTTTTCACATTTTGTTCTTTTTATATTTTAATTTAGTTTATTATTTCTTTCCTCTTTTCGATTTTCTTAGCTTCCTTTCTTTATTTGCATATTTTATTTCTTTTCTTTTTTTATCCAACTTTCTACAATATATCTATTCTTTCTTTCTTTTTCTTTCTTTTCTTTTTTCTTATTTTTTCATATTTTATTTGGCTTATTTTTTCCATTATTTGTCGATTTTTTCTTTATTTTTTCTATTTTGTAATTTTCTTTTCTTTTTTTTCCTTTCCTGTATTTTATTCAGCTTTTTTTTCTTTTCTTTCTTTTCTTTTCTTTCTTTATTTATTTATTTATTTATTTATTTATTTTACCCAACTGTCTACACTATATTTCTTTCTTTCTTTCTTTCTTTCTTTCTTTTTCTTTTTCTTTCTCTTTTCTTTCTTTTGCCCAACTGTCTATACTCTTATTCTTTCTTTCTTTTCTTTCTTTCTTTCTTTCTTTCTTTCTTTTTTCTTTCTTTCTTTTTCTCCTTTTCCTCTATAGCGGTGCCAAATGTCTTTCTCTATTTCACCTTTTCTGTTACAGTCTCTTATCTCGGCGTATCATTAATCCGTAGCTTTTAAGGTGCAAATATTTATTTCTCACGACATTTTCATCAAGGTTTTTCTCCTTCTTTGTCAATTCAGTGGTTAATATTTATAACTTAAAGATCGTAAGTTATATAATAGAACTTTCAAACAAAAAATCATAAAAATAAACAGTGAAAATTTCATAATATCTATGTCAGACCTTTTTTATTAGATCTCTCTCTCTCTCTCTCTCTCTCTCTCTCTTGTACTAAACGCCTGGGATTACGTGATAACAATCGCCACCAATCTTCCTGTCTTTTTATTTTCTCAGATGCCTGTGCTGTCATCTTTCCTATTGATACAATCCTTTCTTGGACCTTCAAATTCTCCAAACTTGCAACAAGAGACTTGAATCATATCAAGCGTGCTATTTACTGTGGGCTCCAAATGAACTTTCTTGTTTTACAGTTCAAGCCGGACTTTTAAAAACGGGGTAAAAGTACCCCTAGTGTTGCACAAGATAATGTGCTGGAATCTCGAAGTTTTGACGCTGATCACGAGTCCTGTAACCCTCTGGGACCAGTAATAAAAGTGTGTGCTTTAAAGTTAAGATAATGTGATAGTGACCATTCTTCTTCAAACTGATTTCAAATTCAGAGTTGTCCGTTTAGGCCAGTTGCCCTACAAATGTTAAAAAACGTCCAGTGCTCTCTTGCTTTCGAGAATTTCCATTCTATTACACGGGATGCCATCCAAGAGACATGTTTACCCTGCTGTTTAACCCATACCTGAAGGAAGATAGGTTCATGACTTTTTTCAAGTTAAAGAAACAGATTTGTAAGAATTTGAACTCAGCCTGGTGATTCCACACCGATAACCTTTGCATTTAATCTAAAAAAAAATAAGCGGAAAATTCTGTCTATCCTTCCGTGTATCTCGGGTCACACTTGCGCTACATAGAAATATTATACTTTTTTGGAATCAGGGTGATACCGGGATTGAAAATTTGCCTTGTCATCTGGTGCTTCAACATCCAGCATTGGAATGTGTTTCAGGATCAGTAGGAAACAGTTAAAAATTCAAATTCTAAAATAACTGAAAAAATAGTGAATTTAAATGTTTTTAATTTATACTGAGTTTAAAGTAACACAAAACTTTGTTAATTTAAAAATGTTTTAAAATTTAGTTTAGAATATCTCCAAAACTTTGGGAATAGAGAAAATTAATTTTATTTCTTCAAAATACCAAGGAATCAGAGTTAAAAGAGAAGCTTCTTGGCGTGGGGTTTTGATGTTCCACAGAGTTTGTGATTTGAAGAACTAAATTTTTCGGCCTGAATTGGAATTTTGGCCCAAGTCAGATTCTCGTCCCAAATCGGTTTTTTTTTGCCCGAATTAGAGTTAGTGAGGTTTTGAATTTCCATGAAGTAAATTGATACCCTACATTAAAATCGGCCTTTTGTTACATCTGACCGCGTGGGGCGGTTGGTAGATATCCTGCAGTTGAGATTCGTCAAACTCTCTGTCTCGAGCAGAGAGGATCCCCAGACGAGGCTCTGTCGAAGGACAGAGTCTTGTCGAGGAAACAGCTACCCGACCCAGTCTACGGGGAATTTTTGGCCAAGCCTACGGGCTCGGATACCCCATTCGTCATTGTGCTACATCTGACTGTATGGGGTGGTTGGTAGATATTCTGCAGTTGGAGATTCATTGTGGAATTCTTGACTCACTTCTAGCAGTTAATTACTTCTACGCGTGAAAATATGTGTTGTTGTTCTTGTCCTAATTATTATCGTTCATTACCAACCTTCGTGTGATTATTCTATTCAGTAAGAGGTAACATAGAGGAAAATTATCAAACAATTAGCATAAAAGTGTTTATAGAAAGGCAATAGGAAGCTATTACGGCAGTGGAAAAATGACTGAAGCTGAGATGCCAGGTCAGGACGAAAAACATTGCACATTATTCTTCGGATTTTATCATGAGTCAAGAATCAAGTTAGACTTATGAATGTGTAAGATAGACAAGGCATATTTACAAATTTGGGATCAGACTACAAAACTTAAAAAAAAATGTCATTGTCCTTTGGTCCTCAGGTATTTCCGACGAAATTTACAAAGTCACAAATACGCGCAACGTGGTATGCATCGAACTCAGTACATGAGCTATGACCAACACTTTCAGGAAATCAGTTTTAACCAGGCACCCAATATTTCGAAATTGTTGTCAATGACGGAGGTTACAACTTTGACGAATGCGACAAGTTTTGGCTCGTCTCAATTTCTAGAATTCTTAAAAAAAAAAAAAAAAACCCTGACAGCTTCAGAGAAGCGGCTGGTCGACGGCTGTAGCCAAAGGCACCCTAATGACGTAAAACGCCCAATTGAATTCAGCGGTTTCGGTACGTAAGCAATGAAAAATCTAAGCATAACCTTTTTTTTTTTTTCAAGTGGCAGGGGTCATTTTTTTTTAACGGGCACTTCATTTATCTTTTAATCTAGGGCTGAACCTAGATAACATGGGGGGAGTGAGGAATAGCTAGTCGTATAAACAACTACAACAAACAAACAAACAAATAACAACAATCTACGTATAAACATATATTACAAGTGAGTAAAAAGCTTTAACCTGTTCGTTGTCACGGGAATAACACCTGAAACATGTGTGTCGGTTTAATACCATGGCCGAGGTAAATCGTTTTGGGAAATTTGAGTTGAATTGGTGGGTTTTACGATATAGCAATCCTTGTTGGCTCATTTAATATCGAAATATTCTTTTTGATTTTCTTGAGTCGAAAAACAGGCATTTGTCAAATTTATAGGGAAACATTGGTCGGGTTTATGCTTGAGTCTATAGGTAAATATGAGTTGGATTTTGTACTTGAGTCTATAGACAGATATTAGTCGTATTTTAAAATCTAGCCGATTTCATTTCGATTATTTTTCTTCTTTCTTTTAACAATAATAATAAAAAAAGTTTAAAATTCACAGCATCAGTCGTTACTGCGCATGTGCAATCGCACAAAAAAAAACAAATTAAATTTATTTCGATAAAGTCCTAAGTAACAAGGCGTGTCACACTTTTCGCAGACTGATATACGTCTTCCACGTGTGTGTGTGTGTGTGTGTGTGTGTGTGCATGTGTAAAAGCCTAGATAAGTTCGCATTATATTTGGTCTGTGTGATCTATGAACAAGTGTTAAAATATTAATTAAGTGCATTAACAAAGAAGATTATGTGAAAATAAATATTTGGTGTATACCATAAATATATTTTATTCATTATTAGGTTATGAACTTATTGACATTGTGTGGAGGGGGCTGAGTGATTAGAATGTTAGCGTTACGCTGATGACATCCGGGTTTCAATCTCACCATGTTAGATTTATCAAGGAAGTGACTTCGTAATAATGAAAATGAGAGAGGACAGATGGAGTAAAAATCCACAGCATTTATTTTTTTTAAGTGCTCAATGCACAGTAGAGCAAAATATTAATAATGGAAACGTCTATAGGACGCATGGCACAGTGGATAAAGGTGTTAGTTAGATCCAGTGACAGGACCCAAAGAGTGTGAGTTCAATACCCGGTTAAGGTAGTGCAGAACTTGAAGAGGGGAATAAACAGGAGATAACTGATCCATTAAATATGGCACGTTGAATTAGAACAGTCTACCCCAAAATAAAGGGTTCAGTTCGACATTCCAACCACCTGAAGAAGGTGCTAACCTGAAGAAGGCGGACCTACAAAAAAAACGTTGTAATAAATATGGCGACAAAGATGAGGGACAATAGTCCGAATTAAATTACATAATATCTCATCTCAGAAATATAGACAGATTCGAAACGCCGAAACGTTTTTTTGGCGACAAAGATTCGGACAATAGTCGAATAGTGTAAATAATGTACATAATACCTCATCTCAAAAAACGTTGTAATAAATATGGCGACAAAGATGAGGACAATAGTCCGAATAATGTAAATAGTGTGCATAATACCTCATCTCAGAAATATAGACAGATACTGAAAAGTCGAAACGTTGTAATAAATATGGTGACAAAGATGAGGACAATAGTCCGAATAATTTAAATTGTGTAAAATGGAAAGTATTAAATCCTTACATGATCCATGTCCCCTATGTTTACAAGAAAAATTTCATACTTTAAAGTTTCCTAGCAATAAAACCTGTTAAACCAAAGAAATGAATTAACACTGCTATACTGTCATTGTCTAACTTTTACCTTAAAATATAGTTTTAAAAATTTTCATAAATAACGCCCTATTATAATTGTATAGCCCTTATTTTATTAGTAACTAGCAGTAGCGCGGGGATGTAACAGTAAGAGATAGATCAAGTATCGACCATCATAAAAACTGAAAAATAAAATTGACAAAGTGTAAGGTAGCAGCGAGACGACGTGTATCTGCCTCGATACTCGTTTGCCGTGAATGTCTTGTTTAAAGTAGCCCTCTCGCCTCTCATGTAAGCGGGCGAGTCTACTTCTATGGGGTGTGACGCCAAGACCATTCCGGTCTTGTAACTGGGCGTCTTAGGTTCGATTCCACCTCACGCCCCTCCCTTCCGGGACAAGATATTCTCGTTGTGGTCCAATGTTTTGAGGCTCTGGAGTAGTCGTGCGACGTGCCCCCACGTCTGTGGGGATAGGTTCCTGGGTGGTCGCATCACCCCTTCTGCTACGACACACCGGTTGGTCTTCCTCAACCTCCATCATTCAGGGGATGCTGTGTCATCACCTCCATCGGTTCTGGTAGAGTGTCGAATGTTTTGGTTTTGATCCATATCAGTGGTGGACCATTCTCCTGGTATTTCGGGCCCTGTTGGGCTAATATCCAACATTCCTGGGGGCACCTGAAGTATCGAGTGGCAAGGGTATCTACTACTGGGTTTATTTTTCTTGCGATTGCGACGGGTTACCCGGTTACTCAGTGTTTCCCACCCTCCCTGTCTTTGCCCATCAGCGCAGGTATGGACCAACTTGGTTCTGTATCTGCCGTTTCCCCGATTTTTCAGTTCCTGAAGTGGGTGACTTTTAGATTGTATTCTCTTTCATTCCTTAAGTGTCTTTTTGCCATCGCTGTTTCCCTATAATGATTTCTCTCCAGCGTTTGTGGATTCGATATCGGTCCTGGAGCACTGGGAGATGGTCCTTTATCACGCGACCGTAGAGCATCATCGCTGAGACATATACAGGTCTCATGCCAGGGTGTTGCGATGAGTCAGTAGGGACCTAGCTGCCTGGTCATGGCATAGGCGACCGCAACTGTCCGTGCTATCAAGTATCCTTTTAGCCGTTTTAACTGCTAGTTCTGCTCTCCCGTTGCTTT